GATTTTTACGTGACTAACATAAGCTACTGTGGAAGTGCCCATTTCGGTTACAACGACATTTGTTTATAACGACACTATTTTTAGGTCCCTTTGATGACGTTATAACCAAGTTCTACTGTGTATATATATATATATATATATATATATAAATGCCTATTTTCACATATGTAGCATTTAAATTTTTGGTAACTGCACAGATATATACATTCCATTATATATATATATATCCATTCACACACATACATATGTATCAATGATATTGGAACATGATTCAGAACTGAAATTCCAACGGAGAAAATGACAGTACCCCACTCACCATTTTCAAGCGTTTCCTTTTTTCTTTAGGACCCATCTTGCAGTCTGACAATATCTGTTCAAGTAACTCTGAGAGGGCAAGTTGCGAACCCGTGAGTCTCTGACGCTCAAACTGCCAGCTTGACACTTGCTGGCAATATGTCATATTGCCGCCTTTATGACTAACCTGCAATATCACTATCTTATAATCTCTGCAACAGATCCTTCCACTTTCATGCAAGAAAACATACAAGCCCAAATAGGAAAGCACAGTTCAAAATAGAAATGTGTATGGTTGCTGAAAACCAAACTTGGCAGCAATGTTAACTCATAAGGTTAGAAATAATACTGACAAAGTTCTGATACCGACAGATTGCCATGAATTTCATAACAGCGCCAGCAGGATATGATAGTTGATGAAATCATAAGAGTTAATCCCTTTATTGCAGAACAACTGCCTTTGAACTTTTGTTAAATATATATTAATTTTGATTTCAATTTAATTTCTTGAATTCTGATTCTTCATATTTCCCCTGTTGGAGCAGGCTACTTACTTTTGTTTTCAAGTATAAATTACTTGGACACAAAATTAACTAAACTTACAGTGTTTGTGTGTTGTCTGGTTACAAGAAACTGAACTTCTGCCACTAAGTCGCTTGGTACGCTGAGTACCAAGTCGTGGTGAGAAACGAGGAAATACACAATGCTGCGTGCCAAAGTGACATCAAAGTTGGCTTCACACTCACTGCGTAAAATTGTAGGTGTGAATATATCTATAACCTAACAGAAAAGAAACAATCAATAAAACTGAACAGAAACAAGGGTGGAGAGATATACTCCAAATCAGAGCAAATATATTTTTCAGATGTATCCTTTACAATTTCAAACAGCTCATTGGCCTTCACTATCATTCACTACTGATACAAATTGATTATCCTACTCAGGCAGCAACTTTTTGTCTGCTGTTTCTAAAATGATGTCAACTGAATTAATTCTTTCAATCACAGAGACCATAAATACAATTAGTCATGGAACTCAATTCAGATTTTAACAGTGACTAATGATATTACTATCTGCATTGCACAGAATGATAAATTACTTTTACTTATATGCTAATGGAAGTAAAGATGACACAGAAAGAAATAACCAAAAATATATAAATTTGTAACTTCAAAACAATAACCAAAATAAATTTAAGTGCAGACATCCCTCGATTTATGTGATACTTATTCCACACAGAGTAGATGGTGAAATTGCATACATAAAAAACAATTTTCCTTTTTCCCTTTGCATTCCTCCTTGTCACCCATACAATGATCTAGTGTCACCTCTCCCTACATCATTTGATCAGCCAGGAAGCAATTCACATAAAAGCAAGTGCTATCAACTGAAGCTGATCTACAGTATACTTCTTTTGGCTTATTTTGGACATAATCCATCGTCTGGTATGTAAAGACGGAGACAGATCCAGTCTCCGAAACGTTGTGGTCTTTTGTCTTTTACATACCAGACGAAGGATGAAATCCAAAACAAGCCAAAAGAAGTACAGTATACACCATCGTCAGAATCCTTTCAAATCTATCTGATCTAAATTAGTTTATTGCATTAGAAAGAAATAATATTCTGAACTCGCACATTACAAAGAATACCTGTAGTCAGTGTCCTTAAGATTAATAAAATATACAGTAAATAATTCAGGAATAACGAACCTATCAACTAAAATGTATTTGTATGACACCTACATCTGTCTGAACACAAAGTGAGTGGTGCAAATTCCATTGATTCATGAAGTGCAGAAGGTATCGAAGCTGAACACGGTTGTATACAGGAATGCATAGAAGTAGGAGCTGCATGATAGCAACCATCAGTTTTTCTCCGCTTTCTCCGATATTCATAGGCATCATTCCACCTAAAGAAACAAAGTCACAAGCAGTTAGAAGTTGCCCTTAACACTAAAAAATTGCTCAAACCCTCATGTCTATGCAAAGCTCATTTATTAAGAAATCATGGATAACACAACAGCTTTGGCTTATAGAACAGTTTCATAGAATGCTTGTATGAAGTTGGGACCAACTTAATGAACTATTCCATCTCAGTATAGCATAAGATATTCATTTTCCAGAAATAATACAATGTATTTTCTTGGTTAATATGCCAACTGCATTCCCTTATGTGTAGAGTTTATTAACTATCTTCAATATTAAAATAAACAGCATTCAAACAAGGAGAGTTGCTTGTTCCACATTAAGCAATTCCAAAGACCAAGGACCCCTTATTCCACTAGCTGTTTTACTGGAACATAATTATGACAACTTATATTCAAAATGTCATGGGACACATGATAAAAAATCACAAGATTCTTAAAGCAGGGTAAAAATGTGCAGTAAACATCTGGTTATTCAGTATCCAAGCACCCAGAATTCTTATCCAAGCCACAAAGATTTCAAAGAAAATTTATCATTTTTACAAGACCATTCACACAAATCTGTGATGTTGGTATGCTCAGCTGCCATGTGGTAGCTCTTCCAAACAACACCATCATCCTCCCTTGACCTCATGCACATGCCCTTATGGTAGAGGTTAGCTGAATTTGTAATTGCATTACAGTACACATACTCAAAATCTTTCGCCTATTAATCCACTGTGGCCTAGGAAAACTATCATAAAGGAACAGAAGTGAAAATCTGCTATTTTGACTTTGTATAGAGTTTCTGTAAGTTTTTCTCAAGCAAATGGTACACCCTGTTTCCCATATATGCCACATAATGTGTTCACTGTAAAATTAATACGTTAAAGTCTCTATTTAAGGTAACTATTTATTACGGCAACTATTACGTTAACATCAGTCTTATGAATAAGAAAATTACCAGTGAGTGAAATGCATTTCTAACCCCCCCCCCCCTCTCAATTCTACTACCTCACCTTTCTCTAAAAAATCTCTTTTTGTATACACA